CCCCGCCTGGGCCGGGGGGAGCGCGCGCCGCAGCCACTCGCAGAGCCCGGGGAGGCCGCCAGGCCGCAGGGGGAACACGGGCGGCGGTGCCTCCTCCAGCACCTCCCACGTCTCATCCTCCGGGCTCGGCGCGACTGCACGCTCTGAGTCCCCACTGCCCGATTTCTTCGCGCCGCCGCCAACACGCGGCAAACTCTCACTGCCTGCTTTCTCTGACCCTTCCCCGCTGCCTGCTTTCCCGGACTCTTCCCCGCTACCTTTCTGCAATCCAGTGCCACGGCTCTCCCTTCCCTCACTGCGTGCATTCTTCAACCCCTCTCCGCCTGCGTTCTCTAAGCTCTCGGAGCTGGGCTTCTCTGCCTTCTCCTCTTCCTCCGGGTACTCTGGATCCTCGCCCTCACCGTCTGTTCGCACGCAGATCAGCGGCGCATCTGGCAGCACGAAGGGCCGCACCTCAGCCCAGTCCTTCTCAGTAGGGGCCCCCGGGGTGACGAGGATGAGGGCGTCGTAGTGGGTCGGATGGGGGGTGGCAGCAGTGCCCGCGGAGCCCAGAGGCACCTTCCAGAGCACCACGTTGGGACGCTCTGGCGCCGGGCAGGGCGTGGGCCCCGGGGGCGTGAAAACAGGCTCGTCATCTGGGTCAGGGGGATCCAACCCAAGTAGCATGTTCAGCACAAGGCTCACATCAGCCTTGCCGGTCACGGCCAGGTCCAGCCGCGCGCTGCCCAGGCGCTCCAGGCCAGCGCGAACCCACGACAGCGCCGCCTCCAAGCCACCGGTCTCAAAGGCCTCACGCACAGCCTCCAGCTCTGCCGCACCCAGTACCTCGAAGCCATCCTGAGCCGGTGGAAGGAGCCTGAAGGAACAGGAAGAGGGAGGGTTTACACGCTAGAGGGCTGTGCTACGGGGACAGGACTAGGCTAGGATGATAAGGGTGGAATTTTCCGAATGATCCCTGAAAGAAGAGGGAGGGGTCAGACTAATGGTACAGCATATAGAAACCAGGGCTTAAAACAGGGATGGGGCAGGTTCGTTGAGGTCAGGTTTCCAACAAAGCCTAAAAGGGGGAAGCTGCTAAATCTCTGGGATTCAGTCTTGGGGCGGGGTGGGGGGGGGGGGCGCTTTTCCAAGGGACCTGCAGGGTTAAGAAAGGCCAAGCAAAACTTAGGGAAGGTCGGGCTCAGGCAAAGACAGGCTTGCAACTGAATTGTGGACTAAAGAAAAGTCAAGCACCTTCCGACCAGAGCAAGGTCACCCAGGGTGCTCTTTGCTGAGACTAGGCGTAAGGAAGGGAATAAGGACCAAAGAGGGGAAAAGCCTCACCTACCAGTGCTTACCAAGGAAGGAAATGTGGCTAAGGAAAAAAGATGCACACTGAGCCTCATTTGACTTCTATGAAATAGGCGGCCAGGGGTTGGGGGGAAAAATTCAGGAAGTATCCAGCAAATGGGCATAGAAACGAGACGGGATTAGAGAAAGGAGGTGGGGGAGCGATCCCAGAAATAATAAGGCTCACTGAGGGTGTGGCTTTACAAGGACTGGTGTAGCTGGAGAACAAAGCTGATGATGGGGAGGGTGAGGAGGGCTCAAAAAGTGTGAATCCTAGGGTAAAATCTTCGCGGGCATCACAAGCTTGTATGCTGAATGGGCCCTCCTTCAAACTTTTGCGGGGGAGGGGGGTAGTATCCGGGCTTTAGGTCCTGGCCTCTCCTAAAATTCTCACTGGGGCAGGGCTTGTGACCTCAGAACACTGGCAGGAGAATGAACCTGGAGGACAGGTCGGAATCTATAGCCCGTGGGGCGAGGCCTAGAAATGGGGAAAGGGTCCAGCACTGAGCTTGGGCTTGGGGTGGAGCCTCGCTGACCTCAAAACCTGCGCTGAGGGGTGGGATCTGGACGAGAGAGCAGGGCCCCCCAGCAGCTATCCTGTTTTTAACGCCTGCCCCAAGCTCGCTGGGGGGAGGGGTCTCGCGGATCTCAAAGAACATTTTCTAAAAGACCAGGCCTCCAACCCACCCCAACTCCTCGCTCACCTTTGCAGCACCTCCGCCTGGCTCCGCAGCGCCGCCCGCAGACGCTCCAATTCCTTGCAGCCATCTCTGCTGCCGCAGTCGGCCGGCAGCACGAAGAGAGCCGCGGCCCCCAATCCTGCGCTGTTCAGCAGGGCCTCTGTCTGATCCCGGGCCTGGGCTTCATTTTCCGAATCTCCAGGACGGAGCTTCCGCACAGCCAGCAACGGGGTCCCTCGGGCCAAGGCGGCCCGCGCTGCCTCTCCCAGCGCTGCGGCTAAGGGCTCCCCGTTCCCTTCGGGGCCGGGTAGCACCAATACCAGCACATTGGCCTCCGCCGCCCAGGGCCCTGGCGCTGCGGGTGGACAGCTCAGCTCGCCCAGGAAAAGGCCAGGGCCGGCAGCTCGCAGGCTGGGGATCCCGGAGTCCGGCCGTCCCTCGGGAATCTCTATCGTCTCCACATTCCCGTCGCACAGCGCTGCAATAAGCGCGGACTTGCCACAGCCCGGAGGCCCCAGGAACAAGGCGGTCACGTCACCCCGTGGCGGTGGCATACCTGGAAAGCAAGGGGGTGGGGCAGACCCAGGTCAGGGAGCACTCAGCCTTTTTTATTCTTTGTCATCCCACTGGGGTCTCAGACTTCAGTCCTTCACCCCGTCCCCTTCCCTTCTTGGATGTCACTCCCAGGGAAAAATCCGGCACCCACGCCCTACCTTTTCCCCAGGGATAAGGGCTTCTTGCCTGCTCTCTTTCTGGATACATTTTTCTCTGTTTCAAATTCTCAGAAATCGGGCCTCCAAGCCCTCTCCTCCCTCAGGGACATAGATGTTTCTATCCCCCACACCTCCCTTCCAAATCACTAACCGAGCAAACCGCCGGCACAACCTGAGAGCTCAGTCAGGGGCGACTTATCAGCCGCCGAGAAGCCCCGCCCCTGGGGTCGGGCGGACGGAGGCCGAAGAGGTTAGAGGGCCGGGATTTGGGGACGTCCGGACACGTTCCGGGGGCTCTAACCTGGCGTCACTCTTTTAAGGAGAGGGTGTGTCTTGGAAGCGTGACCTCGGGGCTACAGCCCTTCACGGCGCCTGCGCAAAGCAATCGAAGTACGCCCGCTCTCCATTCAAGTCCTGCTGCCGCAAGGCTCGGAACAATGAAGGAGTCAAAGCGCCTGCGCGCCAGGAGCGCCTGGCCACAGTTGCGCAAGAAGCTGAGGTGTGTACGGCACGGGGGGCTGCAACGTCATCATAACGCACCCCAGGGCAGAAAAGGACCCCTCCCGTTACTCTGAGGACCCGGTTGGCGCGACTGCATCACTGCCGGATAGCATGCCGGGCCTGGGCTTCGAGGGGCTCATCAGGCGAAAGGGCGTGGAAGCCACTGGGACCTTAAGACTCGGTGGGCCCTACCCCGCTTCCCTCCGGGTGGCGGCGCTGTGACGAGCGACTGACAGGCGCAACGAAAGGCAGCCCTCTGCCGTCTGGAGAAAAACGGGAGGCCTGGGCTACCCCGCCTCGGGAGGAGGGAACCGAGGGCAGTGCTTGGGGCGAAGGCTGAAGGCGCGCGTGGGAGGCGGGGGCCCTGGGTGGAACGAGGGTTACAGGATGTCCGAGAAAGATGCCTCCCGGGAAGAGGCGGGCTAAAGCCTGGATGCCATCACCGGCCTCAAGACACGTGGGAGACGGGGATGAGGCTGGTGTCAAAGCTCAAGGGTTCCATGCCCTGAGTTCAGGGAGTTAGTTTGATGTAGGAGGCCATAGGTCTCATACAGGTGAGAAGGCTCGAAGGGGTGTCACAAACCTAGGGAGTCGAATCTTTTGGGAGGGTCGAAGCTTCCCTAGGGAACAGCTCCATCAGGTTAGAGTTCAAGAGGATGGCATCTTATGGGGGCAAGGAGAGCCTGTCAGAAGTCACGGGATTAGCGGGCCCTTTAATGCTGTCGATAGATGAGCGACTTCACTTGATTTACTGTTCTGTCATGCGTGCTACTCTCTTGACCAGAGGGATCCCAGTCACTATGGAGGACCCGCATCCTGAAGAGACCATGGAGCAGCAGGATTCGTCCAAGGAGAGGAGTCCCCGCAGTCCAGGAGGCGACATCTGTGAGTGCTGCTGGCCAGAGGAGGGTGGGGTGCTGGAGCTGATGCTACCTAAAGGGATTTCTATAGCATTTAAGTGTCCCAGGCGTTACAAGCACTTGCCCGCTGGGAAGGGGCTGTAATAAATGGCTTCTAAGCTGCCCTACCAGGAACTGCCACTCTCCACCCTTACCCTCATTCTGCTCAGATGTACCCACCCTGCTCTGTCCATGTAAGTTCGAGTGGGCCACAGTTCAGAGGGACAAAGTGGCATCCAGAGAGGCTTGGGGTGGGAGATGTGGCTGGGAAAAGTGGGGCACTGGCAGAGGAGCCCCAAGTTCCAGTTCCAACTCTGCCCCAGACTTTCAGTGTGACTCGGGCTTGGGTTTCCCTGTCAAAAGAAGTTGCCACTCCTCAGGTGACACGGCTGTAATGGGGATTAGGGGCAAAGAAGGGGAAGGTCTGTTTGACAGCATGATAGCAACAGCTTCTACTGAAGGCTCATGATGCTTATGGGCACTTTGTAAGCATTTAACCTTCGTTATCTCAGTCCTCCTGACGGACCCTAGGAGATTCCCTCAGGGGAATGGAGGCAAGGAGAGGTTATCTGTGACAATGACAGCCCCTGTGTCAAGGCCCTCCAGCCAAAGACCACCAGGAGCACACCCTACACTTGAACGAGTTGGGTTTATTGCTCTTTGCACTGAGGAAGCACACACGCCCTGGGGCGCTGTGGGACATCTCAGTGTTAGAAGGATTTATTTTAGGTGGTTTTGGGAAGGGTTCAAGAAAGGGTTTTGTGCCAGAATTAGATGCTGCCGGTAAGCAGGGGCAAAAGATAGGGTGGTCAGATCTTATCTAGGAAGGAGGCATGAAGGCTCAAGCTGCGACTGATAAAGCGGCAGCAGCCCCTCCTAGGAGCCAGGATAGTGGGATGTTTGGTCTTTCTTGTGGCTTGGACAACGTTCGTGTTTTGTCTGTGTTCAGACGTTATTCTGGCATGGTCTTGACTTGATTCAATCATCTCAGTCACAGCATGGCCTTGTCTGACGAGGTTCTGTGAAACTGCTTATGTTCAACAGGAGAACACCAAGGCCTAGCTGTGAGCGCCAGGCCGGCCCCCGGCTGTCAAGCTGCTTTTCTCTTTCTCAATACTAATAATTGCAAACCACTGTGTAGCACTCTTCTAAGCACTTTATATGAATTAATTCATTTACTCCTTCCAACAACCCAATGAGGTAGTAATAACCGTACTGATCAGTTATAACCATACTGATATGGTCAGGACCCCATTTTCCAGATGAGGAAACTTGTACTTGCCTAGGAAGTGGTAGATCTGGGATTCAGTGCCAGGCAGTCTGGCTCCAGAGGCTGTGCTCTAATCACGGGGCTCTGTTGGAAGGGCAGATTCCCTGGGTTCCAGTCCTGACTCCACCATTTCATTTCCCGGCCTCGTGACTGTAGGCAAGTTGCCGGGCCTTTCTGAGCCTCAGCCTGCTCATCCATAAAACAGGTCCTGTAATAGTTTGCCTGTGCCACTGTCCAGCCCTGGCATACAGCCTGGCACATGGTAAGCCCTGAATGTGAATTGTTGGCATGACTCTGGGGCTCGGGAGAGGTCCTGGTGACTCTTGCTGGCTTCCCCCCGACCTCTCCCCACGTCCCTCAGGCCACCTGGGGGCCCCGCAGTGCACCCGCTGCCTCATCACCTTCGCCGATTCCAAGTTCCAGGAGCGTCACATGAAGCGGGAGCACCCAGCGGATTTCGTGGCCCAGAAGCTGCAGGGGGCCCTCTTCATCTGCTTCACCTGCGCCCGGTCCTTCCCCTCCTCCAAGGCCCTGATCGCCCATCAGCGCAGCCACGGTCCAGCCGCCAGGCCCTCCACGCCAGTGGCGCCCACCGCTGCCCAGCCTACATTCCCCTGTCCTGACTGTGGCAAGACCTTTGGGCAGGCTGCTTCTCTGAGGCGGCACCGCCAGGCGCATGAGACCCGCACCCCTCCTGGCCCCTTTGCCTGCACTGAGTGTGGTCAGGACTTTGCCCAGGAAGCGGGGCTGCATCAACACTACATCCGGCATGCCCGGGGGGAGCTCTGAGTGAGGGCTAAGCCCTCCCTAGGGCAATGGGTGTGGGGGAGGGTTCTTTGGCTGCTAGAACCCACCTCTGATATGGGATGGGGGCCTTGGAAGGATCTGCTTCCCTCCCTGGACAAGCAAAGGACTCCTGATAAGTAGGACCCAGAAGATGCTCATCTACAGCTTCAGTCTTTGGAGGACACAAAGGCCTTCAGGGATATAGTGAAATTAGTGAAATCTTTTGTTTAAAAAAAAAAGCAAGCAAAAGGGAAAACTGTTATTTGTATCTCTCTCATTCCCAATTAAATAGTTTGAAATCACAACTAGCTGCAGATTGTGTAATCACCTTTAATTCTTCCCAGATGGGTGGCATGAGCTGTAGGAGCAAATTCCCCTGGATGTGCGCCTGAAAGGGGGCGGGGAAGGTGAGTGTTGCGGGGCCTGTGATGGCACTGGAAGGGTCCCAGATGTGGAGTGACTTGGGCCTTTGGGGACAGGATAGCAAAGTTGGGGGCTGTACTCTGAGTCATGTGGGGGTTGCAATTCAAGTCCTTGTCTTCTCCCACCCGTCAGTCTTTCCCACTCATGGAGGGGCCATGGTATTGGATGGATTTGGACTCCCCCCCAATAATGTATTGCCCGCTTAAATAATTTTATGTACTATTCTGGTCATGGAATATTTTCTATATGTGTAGGTGAGATGACATGAATAAAATAATAGTATCTAAAAACAGGGAAGACTTATATTAAAATGTCTAAACAAGGAACTCTGGCTCTTGAGCAGGAATTCCCAGAAAATATAAGAAGGGCACAGGGTGGGGACACCTGGGTGGCTCAGGTCGTTAAGCGTCCAACTCTTAATTCCGGCTTAGGTCATGATCTCAGGGTCGTGAGAGCCAGTCCGGTTTTGGGCTCTGCGCTGAGCATGGAGGCTGCTTAAGATTCTCAATCTCCCTCTCCCTCTGCCCCACACCCCTCTGCGCATCCCTCTCTCTCACTTTCAAAATAAATAAAATAAAAAGAAGGGCACAGGGAGGGGGAAGCTCAGGTCAGAGCTGGCCTGGCCCTGCAGGGAATCTGGTTTGAAATCAAACAGAGATACCTTCTGTTTCCTGTTGTATTTGGCCAACATTGGGAGAGCTCCCATTAAGATCCTATTTTCAGCTCTTGAAAAGCCTAACCCTGGGCCGAGTCCCACCGGGCCTCGTGCTGAGTGTGGTCAGGACTTTGGATTACCTGTCCTGCCCCCCTTAGAGACAATGGTTGATGCCCTGCATACAATAATCACAGACTCTATCTGAACCGAGGGATGTTTTTAGAGCCCATAGCTGAGATAGATATGGTAGAGACTGATAGATGTCTCCCAATTTTTAGCTAGGTACATGGTAGCTACAAACACTCCCATTTCCCAGGGTCCCTTGCAGCTACGTGTGGCCCTGTGACCCAAGTTCTGGCTAAATTCTGGGTAGAGTTCTCAGGCTTCAGAGAGGGACATGCCTTTTCCTCTACCTGCCTGCCTAGAGTGTGGACATGGTATACAGCCATCTTGGACCATGAGAGCAAGATATGGCCTGGCAGAGCAGCAAGACAGCAGAAGGATGGATCCCTTGACCATGGGTCCCTGGGACCATGATGACTTCATGGAGCAGAGTCATCATACCAGCCCTAGAATTTCCACTTCCATACTATCATGTAAGAGAGAAATAAGCCTCTATCTTGTTTAAATCACCCTTATTTTGGGTCTCTGTCACATGCAGCCTCATTTAAAGCCTGTCTGCAGCGCAGAACTGCAGATCTGAGTAGTCGCAACGGAGACCGTATGGCCCACTAAGCTTAAAATAAGAAAGGGCCATCTGGCCCTTTACAGTAAAAGTTTGCCGACCTCTTGTCTAACCGACAGACAAACAACCTACTCTGAGCCTCGCAGCCGGGATTCCCACCCTGGGAAATACTACGTCTAGTAGGGGGCTGTGCATGCGTGTGTTTGTTTGTGTAGGATTTGGGCGGGGCTTGCTAGCCTGGATCTCTTTGCTTGGATGACTTATGGGGAAATTGGTTTGGAGTTAGTTGGCCATCACTTTTTCCTAAAATATCGACTTCACCAAAGTCAAATATTTCCTCCGCACCTGGCGACAGCTCAAAAGTTTCCAACCCAGATGTTTTACACCTCCCCCACAGCGGTTCCCTCCAACCCAAACCTAAGGCTCAAATCACACATGCTCCCCTGAGATAGATAGCAGCCTGCCTGTGTTCTTCCTGTTCTCTCCACTCTCCAGATGTCATAGATTCCCAAGACTTTAAATAGCATCACTGGTGACTTCCCAATCTTTATCTGCAGCTCAAACCCGACTTCTCCCCATGAGAAAGTCACTTGGATGATGAATAGGCGTCTCAAAAACATAAAAAGGGTCGACATGACTCCTACAGCCCCCACCTACACCACTACTATGAGGTTGGTCAACTGTCTACTTCTAAATTCCCAAGTCTTGGGGCGCCTGGGTGGCTCAGTCGTTAAGCGTCTGCTTTCAGCTCAGGTCATGATCCCGGGGTCCTGGGATTGAGCCCCGCATGGCGTTCCCTGCTCAGCGGAAGCCTGCTTCTCCCTCTCCCACTCCCCCTGCTTGTGTTCCCTCTCTCGCTTTGTCTCTGCCAAAAAAAATTTAAAAAAAATCTTTAAATTCCCAAGTCTGACCGGCCCTCCCCACAGCTGCTCTCCTAACTGCTCCCCCCACCATACCCCCGGACCTGCCACCACTGCTGGTCCACTACAGTCCACTACAGACCACCCCGTGTACGTAAGTTGGCACACATCACTCATTTAAAATCCTCAAATGGCATCCCATAGATAACATCCTAAGACCTTACCCAGGCCCAGAAAACCCAACAGTGATGGGAGCCCCTGCCTGCTAAGCAATCTTAACTCCCTCCCAGCTTTATCTTCATTATACTCCGGTCACACATGCCAGGCTGGCTTCTGCCTCAGGGCCTTTGCACTTGCTGTTCCCTCTGCCTCGAGTGCTCTTACCCAGAATTTTGCAACACTCTCTACGTTATTCAGGACTCAACAGATGCTACCTCCTCAGAGAGGTCCTCCTTGACCTGCTTGGCTAAAGTGGCACCAGCAACCCTTACCCTGACTTAATTTCTTCTTAGCACTCTTCAATACCTGGGATTATCATGCTTTAGTTTGTCATTATCCGTGTCCTTACCCTGGAATCCACACTCTCGAGGGCAAGTGTTGTGTCTTCCTCACTTCCCCAGCACCTAGGACACTGCTGATCTCAGAGGCTCAAAGAATGCTCAACTGTGCCCATTGTTTACCTAGTGTCTCTTGGCATCATCCCTGTGATGCTCTGTGATGCTGGGCTTTCTGCAGTTAGGTTTCCCAGACTCCAGAGCTGCCTTCCTCAAGTTCTGCCCACGAGAGGGATGGGCATAAAGAAGGTAGGAAGAGGGAGAAGGGACTCACCTTGCTTTGGACTCCCTCCAGCAGCAGCTCAGGCTCCAGTGCCGTTCTGTACTGGGCACAAGGTACTGTGCTAAACCTCTTGAGGTTTAAACCTCTGCACACGGCCTGTCCTCCAAGCTCCTGCTGGGCCTGGGACTCCAGGCCTAGAGGTGGGAGCTTTGTGCAGACACGAACTGCTCAGTTGCCTCAGTTTTCCACATTTGTGCTCTCAGACTTCTAACAGCTGCGTGACCACTCCCCTGCGTTAAGTCCTCTCTTTGGAATTCCTAGCTTGGTGTCCCTATCCTGCCTGGGCCCCGAGGAATTGAATGACCCCACTGGCAGCAGACTAGGTGTCTGGATTCCCAGTCTCTCATATCCTTAGGAATTTTTGCTGATGAATGGATGGTTCTCTACATCCATGCTTAGAAAGCCCCATCTTAGGGCAGAAGAGCGCTTAAGCATGCTGCTCCAGGAAATAAAATCCATCTGTGGTGTTTTAATGAGCTGTGAATTTCTGCTTTGACGATTCTGAGAGTCACTGATGTTAAGCTATAGTGGTTAGGAAAGTCTCAAGTTGAAGAGTGGATAAATGTCAGGTTTTTAGATTCTGAGCTTCTAGGATGAAAAGTGTGGGTTTTGACAGATGCTTTGGTATAAGATCCTGTAACAGGCATCAAAATACAAGTGTTCTTTGTGGCCAAGCAGGTACCGTCATCAGGGAAGCAAGCAGGGCGTGAGGGGTCCACATGCCAGATGGTGGGGAATGGGTGCGTGGGCGGGAATGCCCCATTAGCAGAAGGTAACCCTTACTCAGCTCCAGCAAGCTACTGTCCCATGGGATTGTGGGTTCAGCAGTCGAGATCTCAGTTTTCAAGAGAAACCCCAACCCTCCATTTTGATGTGAAATCTGCCCATTTTTTAAATGCTGGTAACAAACATGATTAAAAAACCTCCGTAACTCTGTGGAGACCAAACACACTCCTGCCAGTCAGATGGTGGCTATGGACAGCCAGGCTGCCATTTCTGGAATGTGGCTTAACGGTGAAGGACGTATGCCCTGCACCCCGTCGTCTGGAGTCAAACCCGGGCTCTGCTTCTTATTAGCTGTGTGACCGACCTGTAGCAGGTAAGTCAACCTCCCTGGGCCCGAGCTGGAACCGCTGTAAAATGGTTGTGATAACAGCCCCTATGCCTCTAAGGGTTATGACAATGACTGGAGACATGGAGACACAGCCCAAATTGGTAGAATGGCTTAGAAGTCCTGGCCCTCTGCCCCTCCCTGACTTTGCCTTCCCACCAGTCTTCCCCTGCCTTCGTCAGCAACTGCCTCATGCCCTAAGTGTTCTTCCATAAATATCCCAAGTAGGGCCCCACTTCAGGGCCTTTGCACTCACTGCCCCTGCAGACAGGAGCCACACACACACACACACACACACACACACACACACACACAAGCCTCCCCACTCCGTTTTCCTCCACAGCACTTACTACCTTCTAACGTTCTCTACGTTTTATATATTTTACTCAACTATCTAAGTATCTGTCTTCTGCGTTATAAGAGGGGTTTCCAAAAAGGTAGGGAGTCTTGTTCATCATGCTCACTGCTCTACTCTCAGCTCCCAGAATAGTGCTGGTATCTTGCAGGTGCTCAATACATCACTGTTGAATGAATGAATGAATAAATAACAGCCCCTACCTCATAAGGATCCGATGCGATTGTCCATATAAAGCGCTTTAGCCCAGGGCCTGGTCCACCGTGAGCGCTGATTTAATGATGGCCATTACGGTAATTCAGGTTCTATTCTTGAAGGTTCTTAGTTGCCAAGCTTCTATGAGTTAACACATGTAAAGTGCCTTAGAACAGGGCTTGGCATACAGTAAATGCTCAGTAAATGGTAGCTATCATTATAATTAGGCTTCTATTTTCTAAGGAGCTTTGGTGCCAAACTTCTATGAATTAGTACTTTCCATCTCCAAGCAAGAGCCAAGTTCCAACAAAGCTCTAACCAGCTGGCCCTCCGCTCCCCTCTGCCCTCACCCCTCCAGCTCTGCCCTCTCTGACACCCAGCAGGCTCCTGCCTCCTCCTGCCTGGACCGCTCGTCCCGCCGAAGTACGCAGCTCCAGCTTTCTCCCTCCCTCCGACTCTGCTTAGGTCTCTGTCACCTCCTCAGGGAGGGCTACATTTAAAATGGCAGCCCCCTTCCAGCACTGTTCTCCCTCCTCTGCTTTGTTCTTCTCCACAGCATCTACCCCCATCCAGCATTCGCTCCATCTTACTTATTTACTGTCTGTCCTACCCTCCCCCCTGCAAGCTCCATGAAGACCAGGGTTTTATTTTGTTCACTGGTATATTCCCAATGCGCAGCATACAGCAGGGACTTGGAAGATAATACCTAAATGAATTAATGTATCACAGTCCCTACTTCACAGAGTTATTCTAAGAACCTGATGATCTCATGCAAATAAAATGCAGCACTCTGTAAGCGCTGGGGAAATGGCAGCTGTAATTATAATTAGGGTTCTATTTTTGGAAGTTCCTAGATACACAACTTCTATGAGTCAATATATATAAAGCTCCTGGACCAGCACTTGGCACTCAGGAAGCACAGCTCTGATTATAATTAATGTCCTCTTTGTGAAGGTTCTTAGGCAGGGGCAGAGAACATTAGCTATCCTCCACTATCCTCCACGAACTGTTCTCTGCTTCCCGGGCATTGGCTAGACCGCCTCTCCCAGATTCCCCTGCAAGGAGTTGTGGCCATGTGACTCATTTCTCAGCAGAGGGATGTCAATGGGAGCAGTATATGCCCCCTTGGGGCTGGGGCTCTAAGACATCACAGGTACCTCGCCAGGCTGGCCTTCCTCTTCCACCAGCAGGACCCAGGCCACGGCCACTCGGCCATGACCATGTGGATGACAGTCGGCTAAGGGATGGCCTGGGTCCTCGAATCACTGCATGGAGAAAGGCTGTCCCCCAACCTGAAACACCCACCCTGGACTATGATGTGAGCGTGAAACCTCTGTAGTGTTGAGTCCAGCCTGTACATCATGGGGTCTGTGAGTAAATATAAGGAAACCACACTGAACAGAAGTACTCAGGAAATATTGAAAGTCTTGATGACAATGATGTTAAGGGTCCCCCCAGGGAGGAGCCCCAGGGGATGGGAGGGGATAAACGCCCAGGCCCATGCCTCACACACTCAAGAGTCTACAGACATGCACGCACGCACACACACACCAAACACGCTGGACCGACACACACAGAATTTGGCTTTTATTCTGGCCTTCACACATCTACTGCTAAGACGACACAGATCGGCATTACCCCCATCCCCCATGACCATTATGACCCCCCCCCCCAGTTTCCTCTGCCCCCTCCTCCCACCCCACCCCTTTGGCCAAGCTCCCTGGGTGGGGTTTCTACCTACACCTCCCCCCGGGCATGCAGCATGAAGTGCCCATGCAGCTCCCCGAGGTTGTCGAAGGAATCCTCACACTCTGTACAGTGGTAGGTGCCCTCCTCCTCCTCCTCATCCTCCTCCTCCTCCCTCCCAGCTGGTCGGCCCTCCCCAGCCCGAGGTGGCTCCTCCTCTTCCTCCCCGAGGGCCCTGCCTTCAGGGGCTGGAGCTTCCTGGGGGGCTGTAGCAGGACAGCAGAGCCGGCAAGGCGGGGTGCCTGGTGGGGCCTCCCCAAGGGGTGAGCGGCCACAGAGCTGGCAGGGCTGGGCTGGGGGGCCTGGGGGCTGGGCTGCACGGGGGGCCCGGCGGGATGGGCCCCCCCGGCCTCCCCCCAGGCGCTGCTTCACCTTGTAGCCAGGGTCATATTCAGGATCATCAGTGGCCTCCTCCTCCTCCTCCTCCTCATCTTCTTCCTCTTCGGAGTCTGGCTCTGAGAGAGTGTATTCAGAGTCAGAGGAATGCTCAGGGCCTGTAGGGGGATGGACGGGGAGAGACAGAGGCATCTAAGGACGAGGGCTCTGCCCCCTCCCTGAGCCTCATTCAGACTCTCACCGCAGCATGGAGCGGGCAGCCTGGACACAACCCTGCTCTTCCCCACAGAGGAATCCCAGTCGCATCAAACATGGCCTGGCACGCAGTAGGTGCTCAGTGTCTAAGCAAATGGATGTCTTGCAAGAACTGCATCTTAGGGGTTTAATAAGGACAAAGTAGCAGTAATAAAAACAGTAACAATAACAGTGTTCCTTGCTATTTTAAGAACCCTGTTCTTGGGGCGCCTGGGTGACTCAGTCGGTTAAGTGTCCGGCTCTTGATCTTGGCTCAGGTCTTGATCTCAGGGTCATGGGATTGAGCCCCGCACCGGAGTCTGCACTCAGTGGGAAGTCTGCTTGGGATTCTTTCTATCCTTCTCCTTCTGGCCGCCCGCTGCCCCCCCTCCAGCGTGCACGCATGCATGTTCTCTCTCACATAAATAAATCTAAAAAAAAAAAAAGAAGAACCCTGCTCATATATTTACCTACCTAAGGCTTATAACAACCTTTGGAGGCAAGTACTATTATTAACCCTAAGTGACAAATGGGAAACTGAGGTACAGAGCAGTTAGGTGACTCACTCACCTCCAGTCACACAGCTCTAACAGGAAAAGCTAAATATGGGTAATGACCTACACTGGATCATTTTAGGGAGACAAATAGGTCTTCAAGCAAATTAAAACACACGTATGTGGTGTGTATATACCTATATAGTTAAGTGAATTAACTCTCTTTTAGAGAGAGAGAGAGCACACGATCTCATGACCCTGAGATCACAACCTGAGCTGAAACCAAGACTTGGGTGCTCAACTGACTGCACCACCCAGGCACCCCTAAAATTTTTTTAATTTAATTTTATTTATTTGAGAGAGAGAGAGAAACAGAAAGAGAGAGGGTGTGTGTGTGTGTGTAGGAGCAGGGGGGAGGCGCAGAGGGAGAAGCAGACTCCCTGCTGAGCAGGGCACTCCACTCGGGGCGCGATCCCAGGACCCCAGGATCATGACCTGAGCCGAAGGCAGACCCTCAACCGACTGAGCTGCCCAGGTGCCCCCGCTAAAATATTTGTAAGTACAGATATATTACTGTGATTTCATGAGCATGCAGGACATGTCTAGGACAAGTGTAGGTTAAAAAAAGGAAAACAATTTGCAGTCGATGACAGGAAAGGGTGCCATCAGCAGTCATTACGGGGGGTGCAGACAGAGCACTGGTCGGGGGCGGGAAGGAGGCCCCCCTACAGCAGCAGCAGTGTGGGAAATACCCACAGGCAGGCACCTGTCAAAAGCACCCCCTCGGACTGCTACAGCCTTGCCCTGCATCCATCCTGGCCCCTCTTCCTCATTTTCCTCCAGCAGCCTGGAAGAACCCTATGACAACTGAGCCAACCACACTGGGCTCCTCATGGCTCCTCGACCCCTCAGGCGTGCACCTGCCGCAGGGCGTTTGCTACCCCCTTTTTACAGGCGGACTAAGGCTTGCTCCCTCCCCTCGCCAAGTCTCTGCGCAAGGGTCACCTTCTCAGAGACCCCCTCACCACTCTGTCTGATCAGCAATCCTTCCCCAGCGCTCCCTATGCCCCTGATTCTGCTCTGTTTTTTCTCCTCAACTTCCCGTATCCAACATTGACCTGTGTGTTTACTGCCTGTTCCCCAGAGCAGGGACTTTGTCTGGTTCATTGCTGCATCTCTAGCATCTAGGACGCCTTCTTTGTGCCTGGCATTCAATTTAGCAAACCTTTTCTGAGGTTTTCACACATGCTGTTCCCTCTGCTGGGACAGTCTCACCCTGGTTTTCCCCATCATTCTTTAGGACACAGTAGGAAGCCTCCCTCCTTGGTGAGGCTGTCCCAGATCTCCTCATCCTAGGCAGCCACTCACTGTCCTCCGGTTGTCCTCACCCTGAGCCCTGAGGGCTGTGCCTGTACAAAGCCCTTTCCCACCAGACCAGGGGGCAGGCCTGCTCTGACTCACTGCTGGCTCCCTGGCATCCCTCAGATCAGGAGAGTAGGTGCTAAATGTTGGCTGATTGTCCCTCCCTGCAGCTCTCTCTCTACTCGTTCCTGCCTTGGTCTTGCCGTCCGTCTCTCTGCCATTTAACACGTTTCCTGAGGCCCTGGTGTGGGCCGCTCCCTCTGCCTGGAGGTTGTCCCCCACTCTATCTGCCTGGCGACCTCCTACTCATCCTTCAGGCCCCAGCACAGGCTCTGTCCTCTATGACGGCGGCTCCCTCCACCCCGGCTCCCGCTGGCCTAGCCCTCTCCCCTGGCTGCAGCCATCTGGGCCCTAGTACGTCTTCCCCATCAGACTAGGACTCCTTGAGGGCAGGTCTGGCTCATCTTGGGGTCCCCAACATTGCCCAGCCCAGGACCTGTGGGTTGAGTGCACAAGGGTGCCCTGAGGCTCTGATCTCCCTCCTCCCTCCAGGCCTTTGCCTCTGCTCTTCTCCCCCACCCCACCCCTGCCCCCGGCAACCAGTTCTTCTCCCCTAGCAAACTCCTGCTCCTCTTTAAGGTCCCAGCTTACACATCACCTCCTCTGTGAAGTCCTTCCTGACTCCTCAGGTGGTTAGTGTCTCTCTCTCGTCTGGGAACCCTCTGCCCCTGTCCCCCCGCCCCCAAACTCGAACATATCCTGACTACCTGGGTAGTGACCTGGAGATGGGGGACTCCTGGAAGACAGCACCTGGGTCTGACCCATCTCCATGTCCCCAGCAATGCTGAGACCCCTGTCAGCCTCAGCAGACATTTGCTGAATGGCTGCAAAACACAGAGGAAAGCCCTCTGGCCTTGGGCCGGGACCCCTTCCCTCTTTCTCCTCCCACCTGACTTCACACCACCTACCCTCCAGAGCCTTCAAGGCCCACTATGACTTCATGCGGTTGGCTTGGTAAAGGCAATCAGGTTGTCGTCCACGGCAACCAGGTCTTTCATGTCCACTGTGATTTTAAGGACCACAAGCCCTTTTGCACCTACCATGCCTTCTCCACCTACAAGATCCTCAAAGCCTGGCATGTCTCCAGCATCCACTGAACCCTCGATGTCCACAGTGCCCCCCAAGCCTCCCGCCTCCTTGAAGCCCACCAAATCGGCAGTGCCCAACAGCTCCTCGGTGCCCACCAAGCCATCAACGGCCCCCAACTCGGCCACAAGCGCAAGCAGTTCCAAGTCTACCAAGTGGGCCAGTACAAAGACAACCCCTTCTAAACAGCCCGGCAGCAAGTCCCGAGTCCACAGCAGGGCAAGGACGCCCAGCAAGGCCAGCACTGACACCAGGGCCAGCCAAGTCAGCAAGGCCAGTGGGGTAAGACGCCACCAGCGGAGGGGCACACACAGCCGGGGCCGAACTCCTGGCAGAAGGGGAAGCCGCAGCTCCAAGAGGTCACCCAGCAGGGCCAGCACCATGACCAGGATGAGAACTCACGGTGCCACACCAGGTGTGCCCAACAGGGCAAGAACTCCTACTTCCCAGAAAAAACAGAGTGGGGGCAAGAGTTCTAGCCGGCCTAGAAACAACAACCGGGAAAAAAGTAAGAGCCAGCCTAGAAATATGAGCAGAGAGAAGAGTTACAGCCCACCAGGAGCCTCAGGCATGGGGAAGAGTTCCGAGCTGGCTATAAGCCCAAGTAGGGCCAAGAGTTACAGCCCCACTAGGATTCCCTTCAAGAAGAAAGGTTACAGCCAGTCTCCATCATCATCGAGGAGGGTGAGGAGTTATAGTCAGATGATCACCCCTAGCAGGGAATGGAGTTACAGCCCAACTGAAGTATCTAGCAGGGGCAAGAGTTACAACCAGGATAGTGCACCCAGCAGGACCCGGAGTCATAGCCGGTCTAGCACCCCCAGCAGGACCCAAAGTCACAGCTGGTCTAGAAGAGCAAGAAGTCGCAGTCAGAAGAGAGCCCACAGTAGGATGAGAAGTCACAGTTCGAAGAGAAATCACAGTAGGGCAAGAAGTCGTACCCGGAAAGGAACTCCCAGTCAGATGAGAAGACATAGCCAATCCAGAACCCACAGCAAGGGAAAAAATTATAACCAATCTAGAACCCCCAGAAGGGGAAAAAGTCACAGCCAGTCTAGAAGCCCCAGCAAGGAGAGAGATCACCAACGATCTAGAACACCCAGCAAGGAGAGAGGTCATAGACAATCCAGAAGCCCCAGCAAGGAGAGAGATCACAGACGATCTAGAACACCCAGCACGGAGAGAGAGCACAGACGATCTAGAACACCCAGCAAGGAAAGAGATCATAGACGATCTAGAAGCCCCAGCAAGGAGAGAGGTGGCAGCCGATCTGGAACCTCCAGCAAAGAAAGAGATCACAGCCAATCTAGAACCTCCAGCAAGGAAAGAGATCACAGCCAAACCAGAACCCCCAGAAAAGAGAGAAATCGCAGCCGATCCAGAACCCCTAGAAAAGAGAGAGGTCATAGTCAATGCAGAACCTTCAGAAAAGAGAGAGATCACAACCAATCCAGAATCTTCAGAAAAGAAAGAAATCACAGCCTATCCAGAACCCCCCGAGAGGAGAGAGATCACAACCTATCTAGCACCTTCAGCAAGAGAGGTCACAGCCAATCTCGAACCCCCAGTGAGGAGAGAAACCACAACCGATCTAGAACAACCCCTATTAAGGAGAGCAATCCTAGCCAATCTACAACCCCCAGAAGTCTCAGCCGGAAGGATTCCACCAGCAGGGCACACAGTCCCAGTCAGAATGGAACACCCAGTGAGACAAGGGGCCACTCCCCCTCTAGATTTCTCAGTAGAGCCCCAATTCCAAGCCAGGATGATATTCAAGGCAATGCCACCATCTCTAAGGCTGCCTCACCTGGAGAGAGGTCCTCATCGTCTTCTTCCAAGCTGGCATAGCCCCCAGTCTCAGCTGGCTCACGGGTCTCTGTCATGGCCAGGGGAGGGGACAGGAGACAGGAAAAGAGCAGCAGCTGGGCAGCGTCCCTCCCCGGCCAGCTCTTCACAGCCACACCTGGGTCACAAGTTCTCCAATGCAGGATGTCGGCAGGTAGAGCGGGATGCTGCGCAGGGGAAGGAAAGGCCTGTGGTGACTCAATAAATTTTTACATAGTATCTGCCTCCCCAGGCCCAGCTGTGTGCTCAGTGCTGGGGGAAAGGAAAAGAAAGATAGCCCCAGCTCTTCCATAGATCTTAATTTCCCCATCTGGGCAACAAAGCTGTCAGTGGTGTGAGGAAGCATCCCAAATATTTAGCAGCAGATATCAGCAGGGGCACCAATCAGAACTGAGGGGAACATGGTCCTATGCCAAGAATTAACCCTTTAGTTGCTGGTTTGTGAGGAAGTCCACGGCTGGGGGAGGGTCCAAAGTGGCAGCTGAGGGTAGGGAATTCCTTGATGTAGTGGTGATCAGTCTAGAAGGACTTCAGTATATAAACGACTGGTATGACAGCACTAGTTTGTGTCAGACCTAATTCTATACCTTGGCAAAGTGGTGTCTCAGTCTGAACCCTAAATCTGCCATATTCTAGCTGTGTAGCTTCAAGCAAAGAACTTAACTTCTCTAGCCTGTTTCCTTCTCAGTACCAAAGGACTCCCAGGGCTTAACCCATGTAGTCCTTGTAACTATGTTGAGAGATTATCACCTCCTTTGTACACGAGGAAACTGAGACACAGAGAGGATTAACAAGTAGTTCAAGGACACACCAACTAGTTGGTGGGTGAACTAGGATTTGATGCTACCCTCTCTCTCATAAAATAATCCCTCAGCTGAAAAAACTTTTTGAAGATTCAGTGGGCTGATTCAATATAAACTGCCGGTATGTGGCAGGTACTCCCATTAACAGTGGCTGTTGGGTGCCTGGGTGGCTCAGTCGTTAAGCGTCTGCCTTCGGCTCAGGTCATGATCCCAGGGTCCTGGGATTGAGTCCCACATCGGGCTCCCTGCTCTGCGGGAAGCCTGCTTCTCCCTGTCCTGCTCCCCCTGCTTGTGTTCCTGCTCTCGCTATATCTCTCTCTGTCAAAAAAATAAATAAAATCTAAAAAAAAAGTTAAAAAACAAACAAACAAACAAACAGTGGCTGTTAATACACCCACCCACAACCCTTTCTATAAACCCCAGCCACTCCAGACTTCTCACCTCTCCCCGTGCACACCAGGACTTTTCACATCTGTGGGTCTTAGCCAATCCTACTATTGCTGTCTAGAATGTCCTTGTCTGCCTGGAGAACTCCTACTCGCTCTCCAAAACCCATCTCAAACACAAAAACCTCTGTACTTCTTCGAGCCCAAATACCATCTCTACCTCTGCCAAGAAGCCTTCTCTGACTCCTTTCCTTCCTATCCCTCTTCACCAATACCTCCCTTCACACACACACACACACACACACACAAACACACGGCAATTCTTTTGTTTCCCATTGCACTCCCTGGCAGTAAAGAGCCAAGAAGAGCAAGCTAGTGAAAGGGTTGGCAGCCTCAGCTACACCTCTTTATGCCAAGACTTGTGCTGGGTACTGGGGATACAATGGTGGAAAATACACAATCCCTTCAAAGCCTAGAAGTCAAGTTTAATGCTGGGGACTAAAGGAAAAAAAAAAAAAAGCGAAGCCTGGAGGAGGCTGGTGCATGGGGGGGTGGGGGCTGGTAGCAATGGCAGGGGAGCTTTCTAAAGACACCTGGATCTGGGCTTTAAGGACAGGAGGTTCATAATTGGCAGAGGAGAATTGTCCTAATACCCTTGTAGGGTCCCATTTAATTTGGGATTTCTACTTCATGCCAGGATAAGTTTGCCAGATTTAGTAAATAGAAACAGAACATGCCTGGTTAAATTTTAATTTCAGATAAACAGAAAATTATTTAATAAACATAGGTTCCATGCAATATTTGGGATAAACATTTCTAAAAGGTTATTCACCTGAAACTCAAATTTAACTGGACGTTCTATCTGCTACCTGGCAAGCACACGCTAGAGACCATCAGGACTTCCCATGAGATTACCAGGAGACATTGCTCACCAGGCTAGCCTACCTTCACCCAAACCCACATCACACAAGGACCTTCCAGACTATTCCAGATGTCAAGTGGAGACATTCTTTGGTGCACAAGTCCCATTCCTACAACGACTACGGTGGCCATACTGGCTTCCACAATTTTAAAGGGACACAAATGAGGCTCCCTCACTACCACAAGGAAAACACTGTGCCTAGGCCCCACCAAATAACCTACAGCAACAAATTCCCAGGATGCCCTGCGTGAACATAATAGGCACCCGTTCCCACAATGCTAGGGCAAGGAGGCCAGAGCAAAACCTTACACAGGACAATAAGGACCAGTCCCCACAATGCCCTGCGACAATCCTTCCCAGGATGCCTCGGGCCTATAATGACCACCTTCCAAGGTGTTCTGCGTCGAAGCACTCCGAGCTTCCAGGATGCTTGGCGTAAGGTGTGTAACAAAAGGGACTGCTTCCCCACAAGGAGCTAGGATAATGCTTCCCATAATGCACTAGGCCCATAACGACTAGCGGACCGACTCCCACAATGCCTCAGGGCCGAGCGTCCCGTTTCCCCAGGATGCCCCAGGGCGGCACGGAGCCGCGCTGGGGGAGAAAAGGAAGCCTGGGTCTCGCCCTCCGGCCATCACGGGCCAAGACGGCTGCCTGCCCGCCCCGGTGACGGGAGCCGTCACTCCCATCATGCAGCGGTGCCGTAGCGCCCGCTTCCCAGCATGCCCCGCGCACCCCCATCCCGGACACTCACCGGCACTAGCTGCCCCCGCTCTGGCTCGGCGGCGGCGGCTGCACGCCTCGGCTCTGCGCCTGCGCTGCAAGTCGGGTAGGAGGGAGTGCAAAGCGGCGTGAAGAGCCTAGGGCGCTTGCGCGGCGAGATGGACCATTCCCGTCGCACTGTGGGAAGAGGGGCTCTCCGACTTGGGCCATCGACGAGGCCCGCGCAGGGGGTTCCGGGCTTTGCCCCTCGCTGTCCGGGTTTACTTGGTACAGTCCGCAGCTAAACGGAACAAGAAACTGCAAGGCTTGCGCGTGCGTGAGCGAGCAGGAACGCGCCTTATAGAAAATGGGATGAGCTAGGGGATGGGAGCGTCAGCTAAACCTGGATCCTGGGCCTGAGGCTTGCTTATTTGCATAATCTTAGTGAGGGACAATAGGAGCCCTACGGCGCTGAAGGGGTGATTTGCATATTCCCCAGAGAGGCCGTACTCCGGAACGCCGTGAATAGCATATGGGGGGGCGGTGGCTGGGGGCGCTCCTGAACAAAGCGCATGCGCTGACGGATTGCGGACTAGCGCGGAGCGGGTGGCCTTGTTTTAGTTGGCATCAGTTTGCATCCGGAGAGGGGGCATGAGCGCCAAGACACTTACCAACCCCACAAGCCCTCCCCCCCCCCAGCATAAATATTTACTGCTCTCTTCTGTGCCAAGGCCTGTGCTGGTGGGCACTGTGGTTTCCGCAGTAGACAAGACACACCTGGCTCCTAACCTCATGGCACCCCAATCAAAGGAAGGAGAGCCACAAAAGTCAGAACCACAACCCAGAGTGGTCAGACTTGGGATGAGTGGAGTATAGGAAACTGTGGGAGCCAGAGGAGGTACCTGCCCTAGCCTGGAAAGGCTTCCAAGAGGTGGTGATCTTTAAGCCAAGGATGAATAGAAGCCAACTGGAATAGGAGTTTTTCTGGCAGAGGGAACAGCAAGGGTAGAAGCCTATAGGCAAAAAGTAGTCATGGTTTGATTGAGAAAATGATAGCAGCTAAGTATCCCTGAAACAGAATTAAGAGAGGGGAATGGCACCTACAGGTGAAGTTAAGACCTCAGACTACGCTGTATAGGAAGCTATTGCAGCATTCCAGGCTTCCTGGAATTGACTCAAATTCCCACTCAGAACTCTCCAATGAGCTCCCATTACACTTAGAAAAAAATCCAAACTCTGTCATGGCCCAGGGGCTATACACATAGTCTGCCCCTCCTTGTCTCTGACTTCACTCACTTCTCTTTATCCACTCCACCGTCTAGCTCCACTTCCCCTCAAACACTGCAATCTCTTTACCACCTCAGGCCTTTGCCCTTGCTATTCCCTTTGCCTGAAAATGCTTTTCCCTCTGATCTTTGAATAGCTGATCTTTTTTTTTTTTAATTTTTTAAAAAGATTTTATTTATTTATTTGAGAGAGAGAGACTGAGAGAGAGAGCACATGAGAAGGGGGAGGGTCGGGAGGGTCAGAGGGAGAAGCAGACTCCCTGCCGAGCAGGGAGCCCGATGCGGGACTCGATCCAGGGACTCCAGGATCATGACCTGAG